TCATCATCATCATCATCATCATTATTATTATTATTATTATTATTATTATTATTATTATTATTATTATTATTATTATTATTATTATTATTGTAGGCACACAGGAAAGGTTTTTTCCTTTGAAAGCTTGTCATAATCCCATCCATGACTGGGGAATTTGGTATAGTATGTAGCTCAAACTATAGGCCAGACTTGTATCAAAATCATATCCAAATGATAACTTTTCTTTTTCTTTTTCATTTCTTAGTTATTTTTCTCCAGTTTCCTGTGGTGGTTGGTGGATTATGTTATCAGTGAAAAAACATTTTCCTGTATACTGTGAATAAATGAATATCCCTATGCTTACCTGATTAACAACACTGATGAAGAGACATCAGTAAATGGAGCAGTTCTTGTGTTGTGAAGGACAGAAACGAAGAAGGATTTTAGGCCATTCCAAGAATTTATCCTTTGTCTAGCAAAGTGTGTTATATGTAAGGGACTGATGGTGAGATAGGAAAGCCTGTAGCTAGATGCGTCAGAAGACCCCAAAAGAATCTGTGTGCATCAGACAAACCAATTTCCATTACAAGGGTAAAAGTTCCTTGATCCCTACTTAACAGTGCACAGAACCCCCATTGCTGTAACCCATTTGAAATAAGTATCACATACTGTATAGAAAAAGTAATGGCTGAGATATATAGTGCAGGAAAAGGTAATTAATTCGATAATAATTTCATCTTGTTATTATTCATAATATATGAAAAGCTGTGTGCACGATCCAGACATCATTTCAAGATCCTTTCAAGGCATGAAGATACTGGTTCTTACATTTCATGTCCAATAGAATGGCTGAGAGAGTTTTACAATACCTGTTGCATAGTTGAATAGATGGACTTGTAAGCTCCCATCATGCATTAATCATGGGAAGAGAGTTTCCAAGTAGAAAGCGCCAGAAGAACTTTACTGGTAGTCCAACCCACAAAGACACATAGTTTACATCCCTCTGTTGTCAAAACGTACTGAGCATAGATATCTGAAAAACAGGAAGCCTTCAGAGGTACAGCTACATGATCTGGAAATCCAGTCACATAGCATTCCTACTGCTGTGGAAGTCCACATATAAAATGTTCCCCTTCTCAGACATTCATATTCAAGAAATTGACATGAAGAGTCAGTGTATGAAATGGTGTGACTTCAGGGCCACCAACACAGTGTCGCTGCTTCTTTTTACACGGTGACATCCTTCATGAAATTAATGTGTGAAAAGTCCAAAAAATATGAGATAAATTTAATAGTACAAGTTCACTGAATTTCAGCACATATCAAACAACTAACTTAGCATCTTTAAAAAAAAAAAAGTTAAAATTCGCTGACAATATAAAATTACATTTGAGAAATTTTTTCCCCTTCATATTGAAAGATACACTATTCAATAACAACTACAAGCTATTTTGAAAAGGAGCAATATACTGTATGGTTAAAAATAAAACTAATATTGGCAGTTGAACTGAAGTCAACAACCAGTGTAATTTTGCTTAATTTCCACAATTTGCACAACTGGCCCAATTTGCACAAAAATGTTTCTCACCAGTTTGAGAGTTCCAGGAAATTCTCGCCCTGTTGCTGATCAAGGAGAAGAAATTTATTTATTTATTTGTTTGTTTGTTTGTTTGTTTGTTTATTTAATTTTATTTATATCCCGCTTATCTAGTCGATTAAGACCACTCTAGGCGGCTCACAGAAATTCACAGG